CCTCGGCGGGCCGGGATGGCAGGAAAACATCCGTGCGGAGCCTCGCATCCCGGCTCCTCAGCGGGGTGCCCATTTTATTCCAATCACGCGAACACAGGCCAAGCTAGCCCCACTGATGGACTTTTTTCTTGTGGCATCCCTGGCCATAAGGGAGCAGGAACAAGGGTGGCAATGAATCACAGAATGACAGAAGAGTTGAGGTTGGAAGGGACCTCTAGGAGTCATCYAATCCAACCCCTGCTCAAGCAGGGACACCCAGAGCCCAGGACACCCGGTCGCATCCAGACGGGTTTGGAAGATCTCCAGAGAAAGAGACTCAACAACCTCCCCTGGGCAGCCTGTCACCCTCACAGGGAAGTTCTTCCTCACATGGAGATGGAACCTCCTGTGCTTCAACTTGGACTCATTGCCCCTTGTCCTGTCACTGGCCACCACCGAGAAGAGCTTGAGCCCTCCAGGGCACAGCCTGCACATCTGTAAAGAAAAGACTTAAAATCCACCCTTGGCAGCACCAGGTCACCTGGGCAGCCTCCCCAGCTCCCTGGTGCCTCTGGAGAAGACTCACGGCCCTGTCCTGCCTCCGGGTTCCCGCAGGTGTCCCCAGACACCTGTGTCACCAGCCTGGCTAGCAGCGACGTGTCCCTGCCTGCCTGCAGGGACGGCTCTGCCGAAAGGGGAGCCGGCGTCCAGGCGTGGGGTGATCCAAGTGTGGGGTCATGGCCACAAAGGCGGCGGGACGGGTTCCTGCCGCGCTCTGCCCGGGGCTCTCCCCTCTATTAGAGGCTGGAGGAGGTGAGTCAGGGGGAGCCGCAGGCAGACCCGTCCCGTGCGGCTGAGTCAGCAGCAGGGAACGAGACGCGGCTCCCTTCCTCCAGTTAAGGGAGGATCTGGGAGAACACCGGGCTTCTGGCCACGCGCTTGTGTAAYGGCTCCTTCCCGGCAAGCGAGGCAATAAATGGGAAAGGATCCGCACGCGGCGCGTGCCGTGACCTCCCCGGCTCCCTTACAAGGGGAGGTTTCGGCCTGGGACAGCGGGGAGGCAGAAGGGCCGCAAAGGCCCYGAGAGGAGCGAGGCCGCAGAGCGGCCAAGGAGCCTGTGGCCGGGGGGCGACCCGGCCGCTGGGAGCCGCGCTCGGCGGGACGGGACCTCGGGATTTGGGCTCAGCTCTGTGGGCGGCTGCTTTGGGGGTCCCCATGGGGATGAGGCCTGGGACTGGGGGGGGTCCCCTGGGTCTGGGGGGACCCCTGGGTTTGAGGGTCCTTCCAGCTCCCACTGCAGGCCCCCCCCCGCGCGCCCCCCCCCGCGCATGCGCCTTCGCTGCGCAGCGCCGCCGCCCCGCGCTGCCTCCGGCGCCTGCGCATGCGCGGGGCCGTCCCGCTGGGGTGGGAGGGGGCGGTGAGCGAGTCCCGCGCATGCGCCGTGCAGCCTCGTGCCTGCGATGAGTTTCCACGGTCTCAGCAGAGAGCGGCGGCGCCCGGCTGCGCTGCAGGCAGCGGGCGGGAGGGAGCCGCGGGACAGGCCCCTCGTAGCCTTCTCGGTTGCCTCATTCCCGGAAAAAAGGAGGGGAGGGGGGCAATTTCCCCCCAGGGGTACAAACCCTAGTAACCCCAAACCCTGAACACCGCAGGGTTCAGCCCTGTGCTGGGACCACYGCAGAGCCGGCACATGGGCAGGAGAGATTGTGGACACCCCTTAGGCCGGAGCACCCGGGCACGGGTGCAGCGAGTGCCGGGCCACCCATGCTGGGTTTGGGCTGGATTGGGYGCCAGCCCCAACTTGGGGCCATCCCGGGTGGAAAGCAGCTCCCGGCGGGGGCAGCGCGGGCGAGAGAGGCTCCCTGGGCTGCTCCACATGGGCCCGTCGGAGCCCACGGGGCCCCTCGGAGCCGCGCGTCCCGCCAGGCCGGCCGGGGCGGAGGCGCCCGCGCTCGCAGCGCCCGCGGTGCCGCCGGGTCACAGAGCGGGGCCCGGGATGAGGTCACAGGCCGGCGCCCCCCGAGCCGCCCCCGTCCCCGCATCCCCCGCAGCCACCCCTGCCGGGCTATGAAGCCCCCCCAGGAGAAGCCGGTGTCCCCTCGGCAGGGAGAGCCCCTGGGAGCGCTGCCCGGCCCAGGGGCCATCCCGGCGGATGCGCCTGGGGAGGCCCCCATCCYGGTGCCCGCTGCTGGTGCCGCTCGGCAGGCGGGCG